TCTCACTATTTTGTTGCATGTATACATTTAAAATCATTATAAACTTCGATTTATGCCTAGAATCAGCTAAACCATAGCTCTGATATCATTAAATATAACACCCCAACCCATATCTGACTCAGATACGAATCTGAGGTGTCACATTGACTTTTTAAAACGTTTAATTTGACAAAATCTCATAAAATTTAAAACTTTTATTAAAAGAACAGTGTAATAATTTACATAAACACTATCACAACAGTTACAAAATCGATAGAGAATATATGATTCAAATTGTAATTACATGCCAACATGATTATTACAACAAAATGACATACTACTTTAAATCACTTCTGATCTGATCGCTTCAAAGGAGATGCTGCCTTTTTAGACCTTAACTCTGGTCTTCCTACTTCTTGGTACCTACGTGTAAACCACTTACACGCTAAGTCATAGACTTAGTGAGGCATACTAGAACATGTAACCATGAATTCCTGACACATGCACTACTATCATTCCATCATGACATTACAATTTGCATGTAACTACTAAACTATAACATATATGATCATGACATGCACAAGTGAAACCGAACTTCTTATGAAAGTTTCAATTCAATTTATCTTTAAATGCCCATGTAAAATATTAAGAACAGGAGGTACGTGAGTACACTAAGGTTGTGCACAATTGCTGTCACCATAGCTCGAATAAATTCCCACTAGGGGTACTTAAAATTTGTGTCGAATGACCACTATGTCCCAAATGACCACTTATAACCCTCGACTCTTAGCATGCCAATTATACATACAACTCTCATATCATATATCATGGGCTTAAATATGAATACCTGTTACATTTTCAAATCACTTCTCATATAAACAAATCACATATTCATATATGATCATTTATCTTTTCATACATAACTTGAAATTATTCTCTTATAGTTGCATTCATCACATATTATAACACATTAAAGCATATATGAATTATGCAAGTACTCATTATAATCATAACATATGCTTGTACATGAATATGAAATCATGAACTCATGAACTCAACTATAAAAAATAGACTTATCACAAGTCTTATTTCCATAAAACAATATATATACTAACTATGGTATGCACTCACCTTAGCCTTGCTTAATACCAAATTCACTTTTATAATTCTATCTCCTTGGATCGATCTTGACTCTGTGGTCATTCCGGAACTTGTTTGTGCTCAAAATCTACACGAATATAATCTAATGAATATCGAAACTTTAAATGCTCAGAAAAGATTCATACTAATTTAAACTAACTAAAATACTAATATTAAGTTCTCTAACTTAAGGAGTATCGGTACTACAAGAACAATACCGATACTCCTATTATATGGTATCGATACCCCCTAGGTATCGATACCAAAATTAAATTCGATGTTTTTTGGTATCGATACCCTTAACCTGGTATCAATACTACTATATTATGGTACCAATACCACCTTCCCATGTATTCAATTCCCTTTGAATATCTTTACCAAATTCAGACCTATGGTATCGATACTGTTCAAACTAGTATTGATACCCATACACCAAATATCCCTCTTTTCTTCTTGAAGTATTAGTATTGGATGAAGCAGTACCGATACCCAAGCCCAAATTTTCTCATTTTAACTCAAAAATTTACTCATTTCAGCTCAAAGACTTCATGTCTTAATCCCTTTCATACCCTTAACTCAAGTACACATACTTAAACCAATTTCTATTCATTCAATACATCCTTATCCTCAAAAGCCCATCCTCTATATGAAAATCAAGAATCGTGCCCAATTTTCAATATTTTCTACTTTCAAATATATCACTTTATATATTTTAATTAAGTTGATGACAAGTAAATTCTAATCTCAAACTTAATTTACTAAGTCTCTTCCAAGGTTTCACTTATCTCACTCTTATCTTTAATCCTTCCTAACTCCATCATCTTTTGATTTGAAGATAACTTAAGCTTTCCTTAAGCCTAAGTATCACCTAAGGATCATAAATCAAAATTAAATTCAATAAATAATTAACTAACAAGAAAACTCACATTTCCAATGTCTTTCACGTATAGAGGAGGAAGAAGAAGGAGATAACTCTCGAAACTTAACTTTGCCTTGTTTTACTTCCACGTGGGTATAAATATAACCTCTACTAATTTTAATTATTTTCTTCACCAAATGACCAATTTGCCCTTCCATTCATCATTCTTTCTAATTCAATACTGCATAACATTTCCCATACAAGTCCATAAACTTTTCAAATTATCTACTTTAGTCACCAAATTTTGAAGTTTTATAATTTAGTCACTAACCCGGTATTGAGGATGTTACATGTCGAATGAGACATTTCCTTCGAAAGAGAAATACCATGTCTCATAGGGAAGAATCCTTTTTTGTATTCTTCCATACTGAACTTTTTCAGTACTTTGTCTATATATATACTTTGACTCAGACCTATAAGTCGTCTAGATCCTTCTCTATATATCTTAACTCTTGGGATATATGTTGCCTCACCCAAATATTTCATATAAAATCAACTACCCAACCAAGTCTTGACATACTGTAAAGTAGGTATATCATTTCTTATGATTAGTATGTCGTATACATACAAGATTAGGAAAGAAACAATGCTCCCACTAGCCTTTCTATAAACACAAGGCTCATCTTCTTTTCTGATAAAATAAAACTTTTTGATTGCATCATTGAAATGAATATTCCAGCTTCGAGAAGCTTGTTTTAGTCCATAAATAGACCTCTGTAGCTTGCAAACTTTTCTAACATTTCCTGGAGCAATAAAACCTTCTAGTTGTGTCATATACACAACCTCTTCGAGTTTTCCATTAAGAAAAGAGGTTTTGATGTCCATTTTCCATATTTCATAATCATGGAATGCAGTTATTGAAAGCAAAATTCGAATGGATTTAAACATAGTAACAAGGGAAAAGATTTCATCATAGTTTATTCCATGAACTTGTCGAAAACCTTTAGCGACTAATCGCCCCTTGTATGTTTGTACGTTACCATCCATATTAGTTTTCTTCTTGAAAATCCATTTACACCCTATAGATTTGACCACTTCAGGTGGTTCAACCAAAGTCTATACTTGGTTTACTAACATGGAATCCATATCAAATCTCATGGCTTCAAGCCATTTCTTAGAGTCTAGGCTCGACACTGCCTCTTGATAAGTTCTAGGCTTATCTTGATCCATAAGAAGAACGTCTCCGTGTGTGGTAACAAGAAATCTATATCTCTCAGGCTCATGGTGCTCTCTTATGGATCTAACAGTGATTGTGTTTCTAATTTTAGGACAAATTATATTATGTCAAAATTATTCGGGTTTGAATTAGTTCAATATAAGGTTAATTCATGTTCGGATGGACTTCAAGTCGATTCCTGTTTAGATCGAGTCACATCATTCAAATATAAAATCCAGGCTGGGCAATATTAGTTTCAATTGAACTTCAAGTCATGTCATTTTTGGGTGAATTATTTTTCGCCTCTCACGAGTGTCTAATTGTAATTTGTAATTGTATAAGAGTTGGAGTAAATTACAAAAAAAAATAGAAATAATTATGGCTCAACTTTGGATAAAATATAATTTTAAGGACTAAGTTAAACAAACATGAAACTATATACTAAAATTTAAATAAATCAAACAACATGCAATGATAAAATTTCTGATGGTAAAGTAGTTGGGCTTTTAACCTTATCAAACATTTGTTATAATATCCAAGAGCTTAAATTTTAATATAAATTTATTTAGTTAAATTAATTGTAATTTGAATGTACTAAGTTGTAACAAATTTAATTCGTACATTTATAATTATGTTAGTTCTGGTATTTATAAAATTAATAATTTTTTAATCACATGTTCTAATATTATCGTAAGTAATATCATGTTCTAATATTATCATAAAATTTTAAACATGCATAAAATTCACTCTAATCAAACATATATTCATATTCACAATCAGAGACTTCAAATGGCAATTTCGTCAAATATTTCCAAGTTCAACCCTAAAGAGATCGATCTTTTTATTTTTTGGCAATAGCCAGTGGATCGGTCCACTCACAAAAGAGATTGATTCGTTCACTAGAATCACTCAAAATCAAGCTAGAACATGTAAGGTTTGGCCATTTTAGTACTCCTAATAGTTGTTAATCTTAGTGAACATACAAGATCATGCTTTGAACATAAAAATCAACATGCTATAATTATGAGTAACGTTACATCACATTAACTTGCTTTAAAATAAAGATTTGTGTTCATGGTCATTTTAAGCACGTTAGTGCACAACATGACATTTTTTAATTCTTAGCTAAAGTAACCACTCATGCATGTAATTGACACTTCCATATTCTAATTAACTTATCAATGAACAACATCGAAGCATGGCATCATCCAATTTAGCATTTGTCAATGTAACATACAATTAAACATGTTAGCAACAATACCAAGTCCAATCATCATACTAAATGTCCATAATGCATCCACAAATCAACACTAAACCATAAGTAATTTTACTTTAATCATGCATTAATAAAAGGAAATTGAAATCCAAAAACGAAAACAAATCGGAAACCAATAATCAATGTCTAAAATATCATACAATAGACAGCGCATATCTTGTTCAAGTCACTAAAACGTTAATTTATCAAATCAAAACGTTTTGAAATGTTTCGCCTGACCGCCGTTCACTCCAAGGTGTATCTAGGACTAGAAAACAAGTAATCAATGAGTGTGAGCTCAAACGAACTCAATGAACATATAGTAATAACTACAAAGTCACAACCATCAAGTAGGTTACTTTAGGACATTCAACATGCTCATGTATGCAATTCACTCTCAATTATTAAGTGGCATTTTATGTAATTCATATAACAAGTAGACAACTGTAGTAACCATAGTTGTGCATGTAAATAACCCTTTCTTATTAACCATTTAGATGGCGCTTTTTAGGCAAAACAATCTTTGGTCCTATGCCTAGTACTTTACTAAAATGACACTTGGCAATAGAAGGTTAAGATAGCATTAGGGTGGCTGTTGTAGGACCCCTTCCTTTCGTGTTTCACACAAGATGCAGTCGTAGAGAGTGTTGCTATTATAAAATTATAAAGATATTCCATTCTGTAGTTATTACAATTTTTAAGTGAATAACTTATTTAATTAAATTTATGCTATCTTTATTTTTTAATGAAATTAATATTATAAATCGTGGAATAATAATTATTGTAATATAAAAAGTCAAAAAGGATAGAATATAGAATAAAACCTTATATACTAAAATTGCATGCAGAAGAAGACATAAGTTTACCGCCATCGGCATCACTACCAACACCACTAACAGTCCCAACACCAAAACACACTTTCATCTCAACCTTCTTTTAGTGACAGAAGCTACTGGAATTTCATCTAACTTCTGCATGGAACGATTTAAATAATTAATTTCAAGGGTTTAATTTAATTTAATTTAATTTACTTGGCAACGCCTATAAATAGAGAGCTTGGCCTTAACTTTTTTTTCTCATTCAACAAGGCTTGTTTTACGTGTTTTTGGTGCTGCATTCTTGATTTTGCTCCTTGCTGATATAGCTTTTGCTGCTATGCCATTTAAGGATGTAGGAAGAGGAGGAGGTGGTGGTGGAGGTGGAGGAAGTAGTGGCGGTGCTAATGGTTTGAGTTCAGGTTCTGGATATGGCTCGGGATATGGTTCAGGACGAAGTGGAGGAGGAGGTAGTGGTGGTGGTGGAGGAGGAGGTGGAGGTGGAGGTGGAGGTGGAGGTGAAGGCTATGGGTCAGGCAACGGGTCGGGGTATGGTTAGGGATCCGGATCAGGGTATGGATCTAGCGGTGGGATAGGAGGTGGTGGAGGCGGCGGCGGAGGTAGGGGAGGTGGCGGCAGCGGCGGATGCAATGGAGGTTCAGGATATGGGTCTGGATCAGGGTACGGAAGTTGGTCAGGATATGGAAGTGGTGATGGTGGTGGTAGGGGTGGAGGAGGTGGCAGTGGAGGTGGAGGCAATAGTTCGGGCTATGGAAGCGGGTCAGGCTATGGTTCAGGGTATGGTAGCGGTAGAGATGATGATTACTCGCCATAAAAAAGTTTTGAAGTAAAGGCCAAGGATGAATTGAATTTACATAGTATTTAGCCATATATTAAACAAGTTTAGCATTTTATGGTATCCCTAAATAAAGCACCACTGCTTGCACGCATTTCCATTATTATATATTTTCATAAATATTTTTAAGACTTCAAGTATTTTGTAAGGACTTCTACACATTTGTTATTCGAGTACATCAACAAGGTAGAACTTTCATAAAAAAAAATAGAACTTTTATCTTTGAAATTTTTCTTTATTTTAAAATCAGTATTAAATATAATTAAAGTATCCGTGGTAAACTGAGATTTATTATTTGATATAGTTATAAGAATGTTTATATTATTTTGTTTTATATAATTTTTTATTAATTTAGAGTAAATATAATATAATATTCATTCAAAGATAACTCATAATCATTTAACATTTAACATTGAACAATCACACTCTTGGTATCATGGTGCTCGAACTCGGATCATCAAAAAGTAACAACAATTCATTTTACAATCGAATTCATTTTACAATCGAAGTCGTTTGGTTTATACTATGTTGTATAAATTAGAATTTTAACATTTACTTTGAAAATGTAATACATTTATATTTAATTAAAAACAAATATTCATCCTAAGTGATATTATATAGTTTTTTTAAATATTATTAAAACAGTTATTGACATTATTTCAAAAAAATCTCAGACGAAAAATAATTAACTTCAAATCAGTGTATATACGGATAGTGTTCATATATATTTTCATGTATCATGACTATGTTTAAGTTATTTTATATTTATTTAGTTTTTAATAAATAAATTAATTTTGATTATAAAATTTTAGTACACATATCATATTTCTATGTTTTTATTGTAGTATTATATTTATGTTATACAACTGTATTATGTTTTAATATTATTAAACTTGTATTAATTTAAAACATATATTGATTTGTTTAATATTTTATAATGTATTCATAAGAGATATTATTTTAATCTTGTTTGATATTAGATCTCAAGTTTGATATTTGATAATTTTCCATTGCCTCTCATAAAAAAAAACTTTCTACTAACCACAATGTTTTTCCAGATTTAAAGAATTTAAACATATTAAAAGATAAATTTATCCATATTAGTTAATAAAATAAATTATGTATTTTATATTTTTTTACCAATAATCTCATTCTTTAAGTTTTATATTATATCTAGTTCTTATGTCTATAAATATAAAGATAATAACACATTTTTCTCTTTATTCTTATATCTTTTCTTCTTATTTTTTTAATTGTTGTTATCGACTTGCCTTTTTCAACAACAACAATTCATTTGTAAGGGTTCAAACTATTTTAAGGGTTTTAATTGTACACGTCTCTAATTATCAAAAGAAAATCATTCAGTTGTGAATTATCCATTCCAACTTAAAATCTTACTTGAATTTAAACAAAATATTAAATCAGTTAAAGATACATTAAACCAATGCTCACAATCCAAATTATAAAACTAAATTCTTAGAACTCGAATTCATATTCAAAATTGGAATAAACAATGTTTGTAACGGTTAAAGAATGATTGTTATCCGAAGAAATATCATATTTGAACATAATGTCTGTAAGGGTGTTTGAACGTTTATTGTTAAATGATTACGAGTTTTTTTCAAATAAATACTACCCGATAATCATTTTAGATTAGGGTAAATTACATCGTTCCTCACTGAACTTTACTCTCTCTCCTATTTTGCTCAGCCAATTTTCAATTCTTCTATATTGCTCACTGAACTTTATAGATTGAATCATTTTGCTTACTCTGCCGTTAACTATCTAATGGACGGCTAATGTGGCTTTATATATATATATATATATTAATGTTTCAATTTGAAGTGTAATAATTAAATAAAAAAATCTTAATCGCATCATCCTCCCTTTTCGACTCCCACCCTACCCCACATCTTCCTTCTTCGACCACCATATTAATCACCCCTTTTAGAACAATCACCGTCACAATCAAGTTGCCCTAAATACCTTAAGCCCGTTTGGGCCTAAAGTGTCACACTAGGATGCCGAGGCTACCCCTGAGTTTCAAACCTGTTCATTTTTTTTCAAACGTACTGAATTGAATCATAATTAAAACATAAATAACGAATATGAAACATTTTAAAAAAATCAGAGCTCCGTGACACGTAATTTAAAACAAATAACACATCTTAATGTTTACCACTCAAATGCATAAGTAGGTTCTATGAATACACATGACCACTAAAGCTACAATATAATACTCTGTCGGAGATGTTCAAAGTCCTGCTACAATGGTACTCCACGAACGACCCAGAGTAAAAATATGCTAATGGAAAACATCTAAAGGCTGAGCACACAAAGCCCATCAGTATAATCGCTAATCTAGAGAAGCATAAGAATTTCATAAATACAAGCGTAGTGAAAACATGGTACTAGATAATAGGTGCATGCATGACCTAGATCAAGTGCTACATACTTAAATCTTTATTGTTCTATCACTAAAGTAGGGGTCTCACGCTTCCCTTAACCCTCTGCTAATGGCCTTGATATGAGAACACCTCTAAAGGGTCTCTAACCCTAATGACAGAACATGTTATATATTATCTAAATGTGACACTAGTAATCCTGTGCATTATTGTATACATAACTGACATACTATGCATTATCTGAATACATAACTGACATATTGTGCATTATTTGAATGCATAACTGACTAGTATTTGGTCTTATATAGCCATCAGATACTAGTTACTAAGGGAACCCTAGTGTCACATAACATCGGCATAAATCCCACCAACATACTGAATAATCTCTTAGTCTTAACATAAACATCGGGTAGACCATTGAGGGGAGCCTAGTGTCACATAGCATCAGTACAATTCCCGCACAAACTGAAGCATTGGCTTGGTCTCACACAACCTTGAAGCCAAACTTTAACATATGTGACATACTAAACTGATGGGACTATACATGCATAAATGACACAAACATAAATGAGAAAGGTTCGGTGGTGTGCTCGGAGGAATTTATGTGCATCTTGGAACAACACCCAACCTACCCTAAATACTAAATAACCTAAGGGTAAAAACCAAAATTTACGTGCATCAGAAGCTTACCTGATTAAACTGAACTGACACAACTGACCATGCAGATCTAAGGCCCATACATAGTATTGAAATTGCTAATCCATTCTTCGCATGTGTTCGGGTCTCACACCCTAGTTAGCCCCTGAAGCACCTTGCATACTGGTAATGCCCCACTAGGGAAACTGAGGTAACCTGGGTATACCTTTACAGAGTTGGACTCACTAAAGTGAAGCCAAAGTCACATTAGATGATATCTCTCTTGTTCTCTTATCTAGAATATTATGTGAAGGCTTACTTATTATCTAAGGAACTAGCTAGCTTGATATCTAACTCAGGTTCATTTCTGAGTATTGATACTCTATTCGATCTTATCGTAATTCCCTTCATAATTTCTTGAATTGAAAAGGATAAGTTACTCTTCTCGATATAATCATTGAACTGCGTATTACACTTAATATGGTTACTCCTGATGTAACCTACTATAGCGAATGTATCCAAGTATACATGGTCGTTTTTGTCCCTCACGGACTAAGGCTTACAATTATGTATCATCCTTATCTCTTAAGGACCTTAAACGAGTCAAATATAATCATCTAAAGTGAGTAATATCAATACTCCACTTGCAGTATCGATACCCTAGGGTCAAGTATTGATACCCCTATGAGTATCGGTACCAAAAATGCATTATGTTATGAAATTAGGGTCTTAATATCGATATTGTCAACCTGAGTATCGATACTGCAAGGGTAGTATAGATACTCTCCTTGGTAGTATCGGTACTCCAACATAAAATCCCTAAATTTTTACCCAATTTAACTAGTATCGATACTATTCATCCTAGTATCGATACTCAAACCCAAAAATGGATATTTTAGGCTCGGAAAACACTTGAAAATCATTCTAATGTCCATAGTTTGATTCTAAATCATGCACTAATGTTTTATAGAGTTAATTATGATCCCTAGGTGTCATAAAACACATTAATAACACCTAAAATGTAATTTTAATCTTGAAATCAAAGTTGAACCCTAAGATGTTCAACTACACAAATCTTAGTAAATACTTAAAATTTATGAAAGATTAATACTTCAAAGGATTAGAAATACACTACCTTTATTTTAGAAACCCGAAATGAACCTTCTTTAGCTGGAAATCATCCTCATCAAGGCTTGGATGATGAAAATCCCTCTTTTTCTTACAAAATAAAACCCAAAGCTTGATTCTCCAAAATGATGTTGTTAAGGGCATTTAAGACGAAAATGAGATAAGAAAAATTTCAAGACCTTACCTTGAAACTATGTGTAACGTCCCAAAATATGGATTAGGAGTTTCAGGTTTATTCGTTTGGGCTTAGAGTAAATTTTCCCTTAATATGTTAAGCTTTGACCCATATGGTAGGACTTGGGTCATAGTTAAGCCCAACAAGCCTTAAAATGGGTGTCTTTAAATATGGATCTAATAAGGAGAGACTAGGTGGGTAATTAACCCATCTATTTGAATCAAGGCTGATAACCATTTATGAAAAATGATCTCACGTCTGCCACCTCTTCATCTCTTTTTCACCCATTTGTTTGTCTCTTATTCCCCGCATTTTCATCTTCTTTTCTCTCTAAGGAATCAAGAAAAGGTTCAAGCTTTAAGAATCGTAAGACTCATTTGAGAATTCTAAGGTAAGCATTATAATCATCACCTCTCCAGCTTTCATTCAAGCCCCCATTTGCATGGTTTGGCTTAGTCTTTCCAAAGGTAAGTTTTAAAGGGGTTTATGGAACCTTATTATTCAATCAGTTTTTTGGAGAGTTTTAAATTGTAGAAATGTTTCTAGCCTCATTCTGAGTATTTCCATGAGTTAATAACTTATTTTTAATGGTTTCATTAGTGTAAGAGCAAGGGGAGAGCTCTAAGGCTAGAGAC